AAAAAAAAAAAAAAAAAAAAGAAAAAAAAAAGAAAGAAAAGAGGGAAGGAAGGAAGAATTGCATCTGGCCCCAAATAATTTTTAGGAAGGGTGGGAGGGGGGAAGGAGAAAGGAAATATTCTAATGCATTATTACTAGTATGTTTATTAAGAAGATACATTCAAATATTAAGAACTGAAAACCTTTCTTTTCTTTCCTTCCTTCCTTCCTTCCTTTTTTCTTCCTTTCTTCCTTCCTTCCTTTCTTTCTCTACTATATTGTTTTGCTCATTTTTACATTCTTAAAAAAATCCCTAAATTATCTAAATGGGATCATTTATAGTCAAGTTAATGAATCTGAGCTAAAGCTTTTGTCACAGAGTACAATCAGTTTTGAACAAGACTTCTAGAGGTCCTTTAGATGTGATTTCTAAAATGTGTGTGAGAGAGAGAGGAAAGAAAGAAAGAAAGAAAGAAAGAGAGAGAGAGAGAGAAAGGAAGAAAGAGAGAGAGAGAAAGGAAGAAAGAGGAAGGAAGGGAGAGAAAGAGAAAGAGAAAGGAGAGGAAGGATGGACTGCTAACCCTGGCAATAGACATGGCTTTAGAAAATGCTTTGAAACAGCACAGCAATCTAGTGCTGGAAAGGATCTCGGAGGTCGTCTAGTCCAACCCCCAGCCCCAGCAGGAAACCTTATATCATCTGGATTATTTTGGTGCCTCTAACAGAAAGGAAAATTGCCAGAAGGAGAAGAAGTTTACTAAGACAAGGCTGCCATGCAGAGGAAGGCAGAGATAGCAATTACTCAACATTCGTTCCCCTGGGAACCAAGGTCATGTGTGCAGGTGGTTGGGAGGTGGAGACTGGGCTCATCCATCATCTGGACTGTACGCTGATTGGACCATGTGACTGATTCCTTGGGTGGGTAGTGACAAATGTTTACTTTTAATTAAGGGGTAAACCAGCAGAAACTTTAGAGCCAGTTTTCCCCACCCTAATAAAATGTTATTTGGGGAAACCTCAGGCATCTGAGTTCTTTCATTCAGGGATATGTTAGTTGGGATCCTGAAAGGGGGAAGGGAGGGGGAAGTAGATAGCTAGGATTCAGTCAAAACAAAATGCTTTCTTGTGAGTACCAAGGTCATTGAAACAGGTGGCTTTTAAAAGAAGAGAAGAGCCTGTCTTCCATTTTCATTGTACATGATCGGTGACACCTGGGAGGGGGAAGGTTGATTGCTTGGTAAATGCTCAAAAGACTATTTGCCAAAACCCAGCATTTCCCTCCCTAAATACTGAATTGCTTTCCATAACCCTACAACCTAATTTTCCCAGAACTTCTTTTTAAACATGTCTTGTGATTTATTTCACTATTTAGAATCGTTAAGGTGTCCTACTCATGGAACTCCAATCAATACCAAAACAGTGTAGGTTTTGGAGGAAGCTGTTTTCATTGCAAATGTCACTTACCTTGAACAGACTGTAAACATCAGCCTGACTTTGAAACCAGGGAGCTATCAAACTCCTTTTTTGCCTTTCACTATTTGAAGGAAGACAAGGATAGGGCTCAAAATCTTCCAAATAAAAGTGAAATCCTCTTGCATTCATGGCTTCAAGGGAATGGTAAGGTGACTCATACACCTGAAAGCAGAGAGAATTGGCATAAACAAAAGCAAACCAGAACAAAGCAATGTTTAGAATGATAACCATAATATCTATAGAAGTCTGATTCCTGGTAGCATTTGCACATGATTCAGAAATAAGTAACCATCTCATCAAATTTCAAAGCAGGACCACCCACCCATACATTTGTTTCCACATTGAAACATCCCTAGATATCTGAGCAAATTTTTAAAAATGCAGTACACTGTTCCAGTCACACAATTTAGCCAATTTGGAATGTATGTTTTTATCTTAGAAATTAAGATCCTAACCTTTACATCAGTAAGGACATTTAAAATATATGAAAAATATTTGCAATAATGTTTTGAAAAGTGTAACTGTAACATCACTTTCCTCGATCAGGAGAGCTTTCTCTAGTTATTTTTTTTAGTGTCAGAGACATTGAGTGAAATGTCTCTGTGAAAACTTCTAATTAATATTAAAATGAGATACTTATCTCAAGATGCTTATAATTTCATTTACTTTAATTTACACACACACACGGCTTGCTTTTTTTTACTGCTTCATGAGGAAAGGAAGAATTCATTGACCAGAGGAAAGGGCTGTGTTTCCTTACTAATTCTGGTGTCAGAGTTTCGTTTGTCTGCAAAAGAACACTCTTGTCCACAGCATGGATGGAGCACAGAGCACCAGGAGCAGCTTCTATGTGCAGATTGACCTTTGCCCCTGGAAGTTCTTCCTGCTTAGAGAAGTCCAATGTCACCTATTGATGGGGATACAAGAGATAAATAATGCAAGGAAACCTCCAAGAATGATGGATAATTTAGGATACTAGAAAGAGAGAATTAGTATTATTTTTTCTTTGGGACTACATATTTGGTTCAGAACAAATCTGGATTGATTTATTCTAAATTAATTTGTTTTCTTGGCTATCCATTATAATATCTATGCAATAATATCTATGCAACACAAGAACAAAACATTACAAAATACACCAATATTTTGATTCCCAACCTCATGGAACTGTTAAACTTTAGCTTCTCTACCTACTTTCAGTCTATACCAACAAGTCATAGGAATTCCTGTGGGATCCCCATCTCAAGATGCATATCAGAAACAGTGATGCTATACCTAGAAATCAAACCCAAAATGTAGAACAGCTATGCCCAACAACACATAACTAGTACTAGTGTCATTGACAGCACTTAGTACTGAGTTGAAAGCTCGTTTCGTTTCGTTTCATTTATTGGTTTTGTATGCCGTCCACTCCCGAAGGACTCCGGGCGGCTCCCAATAAACAGGGGAGGGGATAAATAAGACAATACAAACAATATTAAAAATACACAACAGTCACAATCGAAACGGGGCTGGAAACTTCAACAGCCTCCAGCCTGCCGGAACAGCCAGGACGTAGTAGCTTTACGGAAGGCCGGGAGGGTAGCAAGGGTCTGGATCTCCACGGGGAGCTCGTTCCAAAGCTCAATATATCCTTTTGTTTTTATCCCTATTTAGAATAGTAGACAACAATCTTCTGACTGAAAATATCCAATCCAATTTAATGATGCCTGTCAATCTGTAGCAATTCATTTAATCTTTCACTGTGCTGAGCTTTCCCATTCTTCAGGCTTCTTACATTCCATACACACACTGTAATTCTATCTTTGCAGTTTCAAATCTTCTTCTTCCAACATAGCAACATCACTAACTAGACAAAGACGTTAATCTCACTGCATTATATCTAACACCAGTATTCCAAAAGATCCTCAGCTCTTCCTCAGTATTACACTGAGGGCTTTCAAACTTGAACGGTCCATCATCTTGCATGTTATACTGTCATCCAAATTGCTTTTTGCTAATGTATAGGAGAGATTTACCATTTCTTTCTTCCCCACTGTATGAAATGACATGTTTCCGATTGTCACTGAAGTGACCACCTTCCTCCAGCATCTTCCTGTATGTCTGCTGCTCAAGGAAATTCCTGCTTGCTTTAGTGGGGAAGAGGTGTAGCTGGGATGATTTACATACTTGCTAGGATTATATATTGTTAGGCACTTTGATATTCTACACCTTCTCTTCTTGCTAGGATGAGGCATCATTCCTTTTATGGATCTCTATTATTATACAGGGCTCTTGGGTTTTTAAAAAATTGAAAATCAATTCAACCAGAGACAAGAATTAATCTGAAACGTAGCTATATATACAAATTAGTAATGCCCATATCTAAACTATTTCAATTTATCTATTTCCAGGTGCTGATTTGCAAAGAATATGATTGGTTTCTCTCCCCCATGTACTGTTTGCTGTCCCAAGAAACCTGCACACTAACCTTATGCTTGAAGCACTTGTTTATTGAGAACACAGCAGTGTCAGCTGCTACTTCACCATCAGCAAAGACCGCAAAGAGCAAAAGACTAGCACGGGGTGCCAGATCAGAGCTCGGGGTTAGATTGAGGGAGAAGGTGCCTTTGAGTGCTACGTCAGGAGGAAGAAAGGATGAGAGAGACAGGATTTAAGTTCATATAATTGGAAAATAATTTCTGCCTAATAGAAATAAAGCTGATATAGAATAGCAAGGATAGAGAACTTCCTGCCCAAGACTACTCTTTTTTAAAAATAGTTTTTATTAAACATTTTAATCTTTAAAAACAGAAAGAAAAATACAACAAGAAAAAACAAAAAAATAAAACATACATAACAATATAAAGTGATTATACAGCCTTCTGTATCGGTTTTCATGTTTAACCTTTATAATTCTCCATTCTGTATTGCCTTCCTATTGATTTTACCTTGTCCAATAATATAATAACAGTACTACCACTAACACTTAGAATAATATTAATTATTTATATCACCATTATATTTACATTCTCTATTTTCTCTTTTGGCTTTTGTTTTCTAGCTACTTATAAATTCTATTCCATATTTTATAGAAATCTGATTCTTCTCTTTCTTTTAGTTTTATTGACATTTTGTCCATCTCTGCACATTTGAGTACTTTTCTAATTATTGTTTTGTCTGCAGGTGTATTGATTTTTTTCCAGTTTTGTGCAAAAGCAATCCTAGCTGCAGTGAGTATGTATTATTGTGTATTGAAATTGTTTGTCCATTTCTTTTGGTCTAATAGTCCTAAGAAGAATGCTTCTGGTTTCAGCTCTATTTTTTGCTCCGTAATTTCTTCCAACCATTTCCGAATTTTGCACCAGTATTTCCTTGTGATGGGGCATGTCCACCCCATATGATACAATGTTCCAGGCTTGTGGCTACATCTCCAACATTTGGGGGATAAATTTGGATACATTTTGGCCAATCTCACTGAGAGCAAACACCATCTATAAAACATTTTATAGAGGTTTCTTTGTAAGCTATTGCCATCATAAATTTATAATTTCTTTCCCATAATTTATCCCATTTTTCTAACTCTATATTATGGCCAAAATTTCTTCCCCAGCTAATCATTGTCTCCTTTACCATCTCTTCCTCCATTTTATATCTTAAAAGAAAATTATATAATTTGGTAATCATTTTTCCTCTCATTCCTAATAATATTTTATCTAATTCCATTTGTTTCTTGTTTATTCCGTATCGTTCCTGATCTTTTTTAAATCTTGTTTTAATTTGTAAATAGGGCCACCATTCCATATTTATTCCTTATATTTTCAGATC